GGAAACCATTCTAGCCATTCTCTGAAGAAACAATAAACGTCTATTTCAAGATGGTTTTCTCCTCTGCCTATCCTTGAAATGGTTGGAATAAATTATAAAGTTTAGCTTCAAGGTGATTTTCTGTCCTTCCTGGCCCTAGAAATAGTCAGAAAATTACCTGGTCTAAAAAGTCTACATCATTATCACCTTCAACTTATGAGAAAATTTGTTTGGATTTTGAGAATTTTACAGTTAAAAACATACTTCTTTACTCGTCATTGGATATAAATCTCGGGTTCATTATGGAAATTAGGCAGGCATGACTCTTGCTTATTTGAGCTCAGAATAAATGGCCAGTCCAAGGCGACACAGTTAGTTAGTTAGTTAGTTAGTTAGTTAGTTAGAATGTATATTTGCCTTATTAAAGGAGATCCTGTGTTCTAAACCATATGACAGCAAGATCATGACTTTGAGGAACTCATAGTCTAATGGGGCTTTTCCACTTTGGTTAACTCTAATGTGTTGGAGGTTTCTCTCTGTGAGTGTGGCCTGGGTTTAAAGAAATTCAGTGATGGACTCTCATTATTTTATTTTTCAAACAGCTCAGACTTCACCCAGCTGGCCTCACGCCTGAAGAGTTTAAGGGGACATCTTTTGGAGTTTTGACCATTTATCATGAGTTCACTTTTTTGAGACCCTCCCATGTGTAGGTAGATTCATGGTTATGTTCTTGGGAACGAAATTGGTGTTTACTCCACAAGAAAGTTCCCATAAAGATGCTATTGGGTTGGGCACTGGGGCATAGAGTCTATGTTAGATGAACAACACCTATACTTCATAAGCCATGCTCACAGAGCTCTCTGGGGCTAGAGAGAGCTCTCAGCATAGGGAATATCATCACTTGAGTTTTAAACATTTAGAGATACATATTATAGATATGTAAATTGCAATTGTCACTCATTTTGAGGGTGAAGAGAAAAGAGCAGAACACAAAACCCTTTTTTTCTTGCCCTCTGGCTTGTAATTCCAGATTAAGTGGTTTGAAATGTGTTCTTTGCACAGCTGGAACTTTTGAAGAGTCCTTCTTCCATCCTCTGCCCCGTTCTCTTTTCTCTGTTCCCTTTATTTTTTCCTTCCCATTCCTTTTTCTTCCTCCTTCCACTTTCTGTTTTATTCCCCTTAAATTTCCAAGTCTCCTTATGTGTGGTATCAGATAGATACTTTGGAAGACTCTAAATATAGTTGACAAATAATAAGCAAATATGGTTGACAAATAATAAGCAAAAATGCTCTAAAGGTAAAGTGCCTCTTTTTTTGCTTATCAATATTTGTTTTTTTTTTATTTTTTGAGGTAATGTTTATGTACAGTAAAATGGACAAATCTTAGGATATAATTCAATGCATAGGAATTTTTATACATTAAGAGTAGTAATCTTTCCCCTTGTATACATAGCAAGTATTTTCTCCAAATCTGACACTTAATCTTTTACCTTTGTTATTATGTCTTTCACATATAGAACTGGAAAATTTACATAGTCAATCTGTCAATAATTTTCTTTATGGGTTCTACCTGGTCCTAAACCAGGGCAAGTGAGGCCCAGTTGGAGGTCCAGACTTCATCTGCATGCAGCCTACATGTGTTAACTAGTCCTGATTTGTGCTGCACATATGTATAATTTTTTAAAAAAAGACACATGTACACACACACACACACATACACGTTCCTTTTTAACCCTTATCTAAGAAAGGGTGACATCCCAAAGTTTAAGTTAGCTCTTTAAAGATGGAGAGAGTATATACTTTTGTAGTCTCTGGGTACCTGGTGTACTAGGAAAGGAAGAAGGAACAAGGATAATGGATGAGGTTCCAGATGTGGACTGTTGTTGAAGAAGGGAGAATTCCAATGGGAATAAAGCAGGCAAGTGCTGTCTCAATAGTCTCCACAATCCCAGGGGGTGTCTCACTATTAGTGAGATTTCCTTTGTAAAAAGACACCTGTTTTATGCCCTATTTAATAGAAAATAACCCAGAAAATTTAGTAAGGTATGGGCTTAATGGGGCACTTGGGACTTGGTGATTTTCAGTAAATACCTGGTAAGCCTTGTGGTCTAGCTTGCCAATCCAGTTAAGCCCTATGGACTAGTTGCTTCAATTCGGACGTGTTTAATCTCCCATACAAATGTGGCCAATGAAAATGTATTCATTAGAGAATACTCAGAACTTTCTATCCAAACACAATTAAAAAGTCATCATAATGTCTATTGCATGCCCAGTATATGCCTGGTGTTCAGATCTTGATCTATTTTATCGTTTTTATGTTCACAAAAATGCCAGAAGGTCAGTGTGGATATGTCCATTTTTCACATGGAAAGCTGCTGTTACAAGAGGTGATGTCACTTGCCCAGGAAGGCAAGTGATTGAACTGTTTTGCTGGCTGTCCCTCCTGGTAGCAGACTGCTTCCTGCTGCTCTGACCTTCAGAGTATTTAACCCATCCATCCTCTGCCACCATGTCAGTCTGGTTTATAGATCAACAAAGCCTTGACAGTGATAGAGAAAGGGCTATTGTAGCAAGTGAAAACAGAGAGGCATCTGTACACATGAATAATTTTATTTGATAGCTACATCCATTTGAATCCGACAGGTGTAAATAGGGCTGCATTAAGCTAGTAATTTTATTTCCTTCATGACAAAATACATATTACAGCAGGTCATCTGAGCATCCTTGGAAGCAACCTGGAATTTTTACCTGTTTTGTGTTCCCTGCTCTGAGCCTATGAGGTTGATGCTTGTTTAGATGTCACTGTGTATTGAGAGGTGACAGCGATCTTGTGTCCTTTTCTGAAGAAACTCTTCAAACCATCTGGGTATGACTTACAAAGGACTTGAGCAGTTTTCTTTGCTGGCTAAACTGATTTTTAAAAATTTCTTGGCTCCTTTTTCAGTCAAGCTATTTAATTTTTTCAGTACTGCTTTACAAAGTACTCACCATTGCTAGGAAATAGATACATTTTATTCATATACCCAAGACTTCATTTTCTCTGTTATTAAAGAAGTAGCTGCCCCATCATCAATGTTTTTGCTCAGGCTGCTATAACAAAATGCCATTAAGTGTGTGGCTTAGCAACAACAGAAATGAATTCCTCATGGTTCTGGAAGTTAGAAGTTTGAAATCAGGATGCCGGCATGGTCAGGTTCTGGTGAGGGTCCTTTCCCAAGCTGGCAGAATGACAACCTTACTCCTTGTAAAGGGTCTAGCTGTGTGGCATCTTTTTATCCAGACATTAATTCCATTTATGAGGAATCCATTCTTATACCCTAATTACCTCCTAAAAGTCTCAACTCCAAATATTACCTTGTTGATGATTAGATTTTTTTTTTTTGAGTTGGAGTCTCACTCTGTCACCCAGACTGGAGTACAGTGGCCGCTGCTGGCCACCGCAGCCTCGACCCACTGGGCTTCAGCAATCCTTCCGCCTCAGCCTTCCAAGTAGCTGGAACTACAGGTGCACGCTACCATGCCTGGCTAATTTTTTTATTTACTGTAGAGATGAGGTCTCACCAAGTTGCCCAAGCAGGTCTCAAATCTGTGGACTCAGGCAGTTCACTCACCTCAGCCTTCCAAGGCACAGGATTACAGGGTGACCCACTGAACCCGGCTGATGATTAGATTTTAACATATGAAATCAGGGGGGGAGACATAGCATTCAGTCCATAATGAGGACATTTTGAGCTGCTTTTTCTTTGAGGCTTGATCTCTTCATGTGTAGTAAAACTTACCTTAGATTTTCATTATGAGGGTTAAGAAAAATAACACAATCGACAAGCCCTTTGGAGTTTTGTGCCATGTAGCTGCTTATTATTATAAATAAGCAATCATTGCTTTATATAAACATTATAATTAGTTATATATATATATATATATATTTTTTTTTTTTTTGCACCTGTGCAGTTTGTGTATTAAGTGATTTGGAGCCAGATGTGGTGGCTCACACCTGTAACCCTAGCTATTTTGGGAAACTGAGACAGGAGGATTGCTTGAATCTAGGAGTTTGAGACCAGCTTAGGAAACATAGCGAGACCACGTCTCTACCAAAACAAACAAACAAACTAACAAACAAGGAAACAAACAATCTGGACATGGTGGCATATGCCTGTATTCCCAGCTATGAGGAAGGCTGAGGTAGAAAGATTATCTGAGCTCAGGAGGTTGAAGCTATGGTGAGCCATGACCATGCCATTGCACTCCAGCCTGGGTGACAGAATCAGATTCTAACTGAAAAAAATAAAATGAAATACAATAGTTTGTAATTCACCCATTTGTTCCCAACAATAACCCTGGTCAGTGGATGCAGAAAGGTCTCTTAACTTCTTTGGATAGATTTGTCTTCCTGAAATAGAACTTAGCTTTAAAGCAGTGTTTAGAGATTATGGTCTATTTAGAATGCATTGGCGGATACAAAGCTAAACAAATTCCTTTTTTAAAAACCTGATATACAGCATAATCAGGATTATCACATTTTCCTAAAAGTCAAAACAGTGTGGTCTTTATAACATAAGCAATGTGCAAATAGCATTTTCAGAGAGAGAAATTCTATGGGCACTAGGAAATCCTTGTAGAAGAAAGGGTGGTTTCCATCTGTTACTCCCTGTTCTTTTCCTCATTGTTTCCAGGAGAGGGGGATTATGAAAGGCCTCACAGAAGAGGGAACATGTGAACAGGTGAGGAACTGAGCAGACACTAAATTCCAGACAAGGAGCACTACCTATAACGTGACAAGTGACTTAACCAAGACCATATAGTTTGTAAGGGATTGAACAAGTTTCTTCTGAGATGCCAGCCCAACTCAATGAACAAAAATCTTTACATGATGGGGTCTCATTTGTCTGTGATTTCAAGCTTTGGAATTGGAAGACTTTGGCGGGGGGCGTCCGTTATTTTCCTTGAGCAGTACAGATACCTGACTGGGCTGCAGGTATGGTCCTGGAGTTCATGAGCTCCTATTGATTCTTGTTTTGCAGAAAGCAGCAGCCTGCATTCAGCCTGTGTTCATGAGAGCACTGCACACAGCCGGGTCTTTCAGATCTTATACCGGAATGAAGAGGCACCCATCAATGATGCTGTGATCTTCCGAGCTCATTTGCTCTTAGATGGTGAAAGGGTAAGTCATGAATCTACCATCAACCACGAGTGGCTGCATACTCTTGCCTATTCCCACTCAAGTGAATAGTAAAGGAAGGAGAAAGTATAGATTTACTCTGAAATCTGACTGGTTGAGATTCATGATTTTAGAGCACTCATACACTTTTCATATTCTTATTCATTCTTTTATTCATATTCTTGCTGGTTCCATGTAGTCTTGAGTGTAAACAGTCTCCAGAGACGAACCTGCTAAGTCTCTTATTCTCTCCTCATTGGCCCATTTGTGCATCTATTCAAGTTGTCTGTCAATGAGTCAGTCAATAGATGTCTATTGAGAATATACAGCCGGGGTCGGTGGCTCAGCCTGTAATACAGCGCCTTTGGGAGGCTGAGGTGAGTGGATTGCCTGCGCCTGCGGGTTCGAGACCCACCTGGGCAGCGAGACCTCATCTCTAAAATAAATTAAAAAATCAGCCGGGCGTGGTAGCGCATGCCTGTAATTCCGGTTACTTGGAAGGCTGAGGCGGAAGGATCGCCGGAGCCCAGCAGGTCGAGGCTGTGGTGGCCGGGAGTGGCCACTGCACTCCAGTCTGGGCGACAGAGTGAGACTCCAACTCAAAAAAAAAAAAAGAGAATATACATTTTGCAAGGCTCTGTGGTAGGCCCTTGGATGAGGGACAGAACTGAGGAAGGCAGTATAGGACTTCTCCTTGAAGATGTTGACAACTGAGTAGAAAACAGACATATAAACAGGCACCCTAGTAGGTGATGTGAACTATACTGGCTGCATATAGGAACAAATAAAGGGACCATCCGCAGTGGAGAAATGATCTCTGTAGGGACAATGAAGTTTGTATTCATCAATGGTTTCACAAAAGAACTGAATTTCTGATGCACATGCTATGAGACTACCACAGAAAGAAAGAGGAAGAGCATCTTATGAAAAAGACACAGCCAGCCGGGCTCGGTGGCTCAGCCTGTCATCCCGCGCCTTTGGGAGGCTGAGGTGAGTGGATTGCCAGAGCCCGCGGGTTTGAGACCCGCCTGGGCAGCGAGACCTCATCTCTACAATAAATCAAAAAATTAGCCGGGCGTGGTAGCGCGCGCCTGTAATTCCGGCTACTCGGAAGGCTGAGGTGGAAGGATCGCCGGAGCCCAGCAGGTCGAGACTGCGGTGGCCGGGAGCGGCCACTGCACTCCAGTCTGGGTGACAGAGACTCCAACTCAAAAAAAAAAAAAAAAAAAAAAGAAAAAGACACAGCCATACAAGCCCGGAGACCTTGGATACCTTATTCTAGTTGCTAGAAACTAGAAGAAAAATGCCCTAGTCATCAGATTAACACATCTCAAAAGAATATCTGAATCTCAAACCCTTGCTCTCCCATCCCTTGTGTCACCTCAGATACCTCTTGCTACCTTCCAGCTGACTATTTCCTGTTAGAATATAGTTACAATGATATGGAAGAGTGTTTCTAGTTTAGAAAGAATCTAATTAGAACTCCCTACTTACATTCCTCATGTGATGTGCATAATAGCTCCTACTGGGCATCTGATAACTTTCTCCTCTCATGCTTCTTGGCTTTCTGTCCTGTCTTTTATTATCTAGGTAGTGACCAATTCCTCTGTGTAGCTAAAATTGAAAAACTGTCACTCATCCTTATTCATTAATTTTTCCATTCATCCAATATTTATTGAGCACCCAATAAGCACCTACTACGTGCTGGGGATAAAATAGCGAATGAGAAAATACTCATGGTGTTTGGGGAGCTTCTATTTTAATGCTAGATCAACATGTTGCAATGTAATCAAATAAATCAATTATATATATTCTTTCATGGATCCTTTTCACTGCTACATGCTCAGCAAGCTATGGGACACACTCATGAAGGAGATAAGAATGGGAGTTTGCACACTCATTGGAGGTCCTGTGAAGTGACAACTGTACCCAAAGTGGGAGAGAGCTCATGAAAGTCCTATTGTGCAAGACTGGGTATTGCCTCATGACAGATAATGAAATTGTCAAGAGCTCAGCACAACCTTCACACAAGATGATTATTCCCTGGAGGACAAGCTACTGACAGAAGAGATCCCCCCCACCAAGAAACCAATGTGGGGCTGAGACCCAAATGCTGAGGAAGAGCCAAGCATGCCACGGGTTCAGGGAGATGTCATCCCTGGAGGAGGACACAGCAAGGACAAAGTCCCTGAGGTAGAGGTGACATTGGGGTGTTTCAGGAAACACATTAAGACCAAGGTGATTTGCCCCATGAGTGAGGGGAAAGGATTAGGGGATGAAGATGGAGAGGAAGTGAGGCCAGACTTACAGAGCATGGCAGGCCATGGGAAGAAAGGTAGAGCTTATTTGTGGGCGATGAAAATCCATTGGTTTTGTCAGAAAGATGGACTGGCATAATTTTTATTTTAAAATTTTGTCATCTCTTAACACTCTGAAATCTTCTCAGGACTGGAGTTTTCTAGCTGTCTTTGCATTCCCAGTACCCCAGTAGCTATAGGACTACATTGTAGATCCCTGACAACAAGTAGATGACTTAGTTGTTGAATGAATGAAATGAATTTGAAATCTTTCCTTTTTATGGCCTTTGTAAATTTTCATTTACAAACAGAAATGAACATCCTGGTGTCCCCTGTTTGATGGCCCTCCACCCTCACTCTGCACCATGCCCAGGCCACAGTGGCCTCTTTAATACCTCAGGAAACACACACACCACTCAATGGAGGCTTCAGTTAACCTGATCCCTGTCTTCCTTTTGCCATCACAATGACTACAAATATTTTACTGCAAAAAGAACCAAGCAAACTCCTATTGACTACAAAAAGAACCCAAACTCCTATTAAGCATGTGTGCTGGGTATCTGTTGACTACTTGTTCATTTTCCCTCTCTAATTTTCCACCTGCTTTGTACCCTGGAGACTGCAGAGACTGCTCTGGAGAATCCTTACCTTTTGGTTTCTATTTGAGTCCAGCCTATGAGAGGTTCTACAGGTGATTATGAGAATGGTCCCCGAGTATTCAATCCCTGGGCTCCTTCCATGCAGGGCCCTATAAGCTGTCTGCATCCAATGGTGTGCTAAAGTTCATTTATACTAGATTTTGAGAGTCATGGGTATAGATCTGCTTCCAACTACACATTTAGTGATTCCACATTGGTAACTTGAAATCAGTTGTGATGAAAACATTTACACTAGAGAAACCAGCAATGCTATAAATCACTGTTTTCTTAATTTTTCTTTCTGAGAGCCCGTTGGCATATGTTTACTAGCATACTACTTGCGCTATCCTTTTTTCAAAGGCCCAGCTCGGGTCAGGAGACAGAACTATATTTCAAATATATATTTCATATAGCTCTCGTTCCATTTGTAATAACTACCCTCTCTGCTTGAGTACTCAGGTCTAGAGTGGTAAGAAAGTCCTGCGGCTACTAATGTGAAGATACTGAACCATTATTTGTTGCTTTTTCTAAATCTTCTCCACACCTTTGTCAATCACCCCTTTGACGAACTGTACTTGAATTTCTCATTTTGAATGTATCCTTTACTTCCTTCTTGAATTCTAAGGATAAACTTAGTTTAAGGAAAGATACCTTAGATTGTCTTGAGTGTTAAGAAACTCCCCAGTTAGGCTACATGCTTAAAGTTAGCTTTCCTCAAATTCCAGTAAGAGAACAGCACTCTATGTCTCATGGGCCATTGTCTTTTTGAGTTGGAGTCTCACTCTCTCGCCCAGACTGGAGTGCAGTGGCCGCTCCCAGCCACCGTAGCCTCGACCTGCTGGGCTCTGGCAATCCTTCTACCTCAGCCTTCGGAGTAACCGGAATTACAGGCGTGCGCTACCATGCTCGGCTGATTTTTTGATTTATTGTAGAGATGAGGTCTTGCTGCCCAGGCAGGTCTTGAACCCGCGGGCTCAGGCAATCCACTCACCTCAGCCTCCCAAAGGCACAGGATAACAGGCTGAGCCACCAAGCCCGACTGGGCCATTGTCTTTTAGTATATAGATCTTAAATAGTTAACCTTGTTGGAATGGTTGTGACTAAGGAATGATAAAGGCTGGATCTGGTCATTGTTCAGCTATCCTGGTCATTGTTCCATCTTAATTACATCAGAGAGTGTGCCTGTCCTTTGATAGTTTAAAGCCTTTACATTGGACCTCCGCTAACACTCAACTATAGCTCATGTGAGGCTGTAGCCATCCTTAGTTCTCAGGTTGAGCAGGGAGTCTGTTTCACAGTATATGGTTGTTTTCATCTGCATCGAATTTATATCTCCTTAAGCTAATAATTTATTCTAGTGTTAGGGGTAATCTGTATAGCAGCAAACAATGATCCAGCTAATCATTACACAGATCAGGGACAATTAAAGTTAATTGGATATGTCTGTAAAGACTGTATATTTGGAATGAATGTATTAGCTCTTTTTCAGTTAATACATTTCTGCTTATGACAATCAAAACACTGCTTATAGCCAGATGGCTAGAGAATATGTTCATGAATGTACACAGACATCATCGTGAACAATAGATATTTATGAAATGTCTATCCACTAATTACATAATTCTACATGCTATAGGAAGTTCAGAAATGAAGAAGATTCAGTTCATGCAGTGAGGTGACAGATAAGTGCAAGAGCTTACCATGGACAGAACCAATAGCAGGTTGCCAAGGCAAAGAAGAAGCAGTTATTAACAATATGATTCTTAGCACTTTGATAGAGAAGAGAAATAGATTCTTAGCACTTTGATAGAGAAGAGGAACAGATCATATATTTAAAAAAAATCTTTGTGAAGAAGATCACGTATTCATATCAATAAAAATTCCCCAAAGTGTGATTCCTTGGTTGTGTCACAGCCTCTGACAGTACTTGTCAAAAATACAGATTTATGAACACATCTAAGACCTAGTGATTTAAATAGAGAATATTTTTTGAGGGGATGGTTGGTGTAGAGTTGATTCAAAGTTTTGATAGGTAGAAATGGGCACAATATCCCCAGGAAGCAGTTAAGAACTCCAGAGACAGAAGATAACAAGGATCATGAATAGCAATTAAGTAGAGAGCAGATTTGGGGAAGAAAGCATTGTTACTAGTGGGCTAGAAAGTGGCAGAGACACAAAACTAGGGAAGATGATTAAGGACAAGCATGGAGAGCCACAGAGACTCTATCTAAGGCTGTATGTTTCCCTGTTCTAAAGGTAGGAGGCTCCTTCAGGACAGAAGCTGGAGAGTTGGTATTTAGAAGGGCGAGTCTGGAAAAAATATGGAAAATGGGGCTCAGGAGACCAGAGGCACAGAGGCAGTTGCTGATATAGTCCATGTGAGTGTTGATAAACATCATGGCAGAGAAAGTAACTGTGTGGCTAGAAACAATATAAACTGGGAAGATGAGCTGCATGGCTGCCTAGTATAGCCCATAGGACTAGGCTTAGGTTGAGCATAGGAGATGGAGGACATCATGTAAAGAAGAAACTTAAATGGATTGACTCTAAGGTTTGGGCATAAAATGAGCTTGAAATTGTCGTTGATAGTTTATGGAAGATGGGAAAAGAAAAGTTTCTTTTTTGGGGGGTGATAGGAGTGTAGGTTGAGTTATAATAATCATGACAAGAATCTTAACATTAATAGCATCTTATATTTATTAGGTGCTGTGTGGCAGGCATTGTGCTAACTGTCTGAAATATATCTCATTGAATCGTTGCAGCATCATTATGAGTTGTTTCATTACGCTTGTTTTACAGATGAGGATGCAGTTACTTAGAGAAATTATTTGTCCAAGGTTATATCACCCAGAAATGGTAGAGCTTGGATTCAAAACTAAACAGTCTGAGCATAACGTCTGTGTTTGTGACTATTGTGTACTACTGCTATGTGGAGTTGGTGGAAGAATGGACCCTTCATGTGGCCAGGCCCAATAGTAAATTGAAAACAATAGCAATAATTATAGTTAACAATTGTTGAGAATTGTCTTTGTGAGCAAAGCCCTTTGTGTATATTTCCTTATATAGTTCATGCAATAACAATGTTATGAGTACACATAATTATTTTACTCCCATTTTACAAATGATAAAGCAAGAGAGAGGTTGACTGGCCCAAAGACACACAGATACTACTTGGTACAACTAGAACTTGCATCCATATAGCTTGCCTTGTAAAGCTACCTTACTAGCCATCATGCTGTAATGAAGCTCAGGAAAGAAAGGAAGAATGAAAGTGAAAACATGAGAGTCACCATTATGGATAAAAGTAAAACCAACTAGGGATAGAAGGTGGAAACTAGAGAACAGTTTGGCCATGAGAAAAGGCCAAATAAGTAGAGTCTTTGACAGGATCTGGGATAAGGGACTCACTAACTAGTTGACTTTGGGAAAGTGACATACTGAGTTTCCGTTCCCCATTTGTAAATGGAGGACAATACTTCTTAGTTTTACCGACATTAAATAAGATAGTATACATACAATGGCAGTTTATTACCTGACACATAGCAACTTTTCTGTAAATATTAGCTTTTTACAAATTATTTCTAAAACTGCTTCTTTTATTACATGCGAAACTACTTCCTGGTGTTGAGAAAATGATTCTTGAATGGAGATGATGTCTTTAATTGACCTAAGACAGGATAAAAGGGGGAAAAAAAGTGTGTGTGTGTGTGTGTGTGTGTGTGTGTGTGTGTGTGTGTGTGTGTGTGTGTATGTAGGGAGGGTCAGGAAGTCAGCAGTCAACCATGAAATAAACAGTTAGAAAAAGCAATGACTTCATTCTGGAATATCTTGCAAATAAGATTCATTGAGGCATCATGAAAGTCTTAGCAAGGCTCAATTTATCCACAGCTTTTCCAGGCCAATTATTTCTTTCCCAGTTCCTAAGGAATTGCAGCAAGTTAAAACTGGAGCTCACAGTGAATTTTCATTAATCAGGGAAATGCGTGCTCAGAAGATGGCTGGAAGACTTACTTTGCTAGTCTCCCTTCCAAGGAACTGGTGGCGAGAAGCTGAGTTGCTTTCCTTGTGTGTTTAAAGCCAGGTTCATGATTATGCAAAACAAAGCTAAGAGAGGAAGTTATTTATAGCACTCAGATTCAACAAAATGTTAACTTTTAAATGCTTTTTTTAATAACAAATTTTAAACCCTGGGGACCTAAAGATAAATTCCATCCATATGTCTCCGCCTGAATTATGCTTAACCAGGAAGACGTTTCCAAAGAGGCCTGTTGAATAAGAGATTTCTGTCCCTAGAGCTTGAGGACATTCTTGCAAAGAAACAGAATCAAAAAAAAAAAAGTGGGAATGGTAAAAGAGCTTTATTCTTCAAAGATGTATTGATACTTTCTATGTAGCAGGGACTATGCCTGGAGCAGGGGATCCAGAATGAATTAAGACTTTTCCCTTAACTTAATGATACACAGATTACTGGAGATACTAGGCAAGAAAATAGCCAGGGTTTTTTTGTTTTTTTTTTTTTTGCCACAGGCCAGATGGATATTGTTAGGGAATACAGTGAACTGTGGTAGATACAAGAGCAATTACCTGATTCAAACAGAGCTTCCAAATACCAGCACAGCATTACTAGATCCAGGACTTTTTTTTCCCCTGGAAGCTAAAAACCTATAATATAAATGTGAAATAGCCTGAAATGTAAATGTTTGCAACTTGTTCAAAACATTAACAAAAATACTTTGGGGACAAAACAAAACTAAAAAAACACATCAGCAGATAAAGCTGAAGATGATACTATGCTCATGGGCTTCCAAGTTATAAACCTCCAAAAATTGTAACAAGAAGTGTTACATGCTAAGGAATATAAGAAACAGACTTTCGTGGTTACAGAGAAGGGCTTTGTGCAGCCTGAGAGTGGGAAGAGGCCAAATCCTGTCACAAGTGTGCAGTCCTGAGACTACATTGACTCCTGAGTAGAGATAGTGGTGAGGTCTGGTATTTAGCAAATCCCACTTGTGGTGAGGGTAATGTTTAGTGTGATTAAAGAGTAACTGGGGATACCATCTTTTAGGTGTATGTGAGAAACTGGCAGGACGAACAAAGAGTCCTGTGTTTTAAAAAAATTGCAGGTTTTTGTTTTGTTTGTTTTTTAAGCTAAGGTTAAAAGCAACCATTGATAAAATGTAAAGTGCCAAAGCATCTTAAGGTGTAAATGGTTAAATGCCATGGATCTCAAGACAAAAATGAACGCGTTGCTTTCTCCAAATTGAGAAACCTTGACAAGTGACAGCTTTCCTGAGAATCAGCTTCCTCCTCTGCATGTGTGGGTGGTGGCACCTGACCTGGGAGGTGTCTGAGGGTTAGAGATAGCATCACCTCTGACTTTATCCCATCACTAGTCAAGTAGGGTTCCACAGTGAGTTCACTACCCCGTCCTTCTCAAAGCAGGTGCTATGTAATACTTTACTCCTGTCCAAAATTGAATTCCAGTCAAATCTTTGTGTGAAATGAGGCTTTCAAAAGTCTTGCAATAAGAAAACTTGTTTAACATTTTTTTGCAAACTGGTTTCCCAATAAACCCCTTCCATCTGTACTCCATGGAATACTCCCAGATATCCTGTTCATCCAGAACTCCATGGAACATGCATGGAAATTCTGCTTTAGACATAAGTGACAGTGATTTTGTGATGCAATAGTATTTCTCTACTTGGAGAAATAGCCTGGCTAAATATTTCATTTGTACAGGACTCCTTATATACCCTGGACTTTGTTTCTTTTGCAGGTGGAAGACGCACTGAGTGAAGTAGATTTCCAACTCAAGATGGACCTGCACTTCACGGACAGTGAACAGCAGTGAGTGTTGTGGAAATTCCTGAATTGTGGTAGCATAATGCCCCCCACCCCCACCCCTTCCTCACTCCTGGGACATCCTCATGGCCATGGACCTCAGAATGGCTCTCAGGTATCTGGCTCTTGATAAGTTTCAAGGTCCCTTACTCAGGAATGTGGGCTAAGAATGTCTTCAAAGTCATTTCAAATTGTGTACATTTTAGACCAGTAACTAACATGCTACATACACAGAAAACCTTTGACTTCCAGGCTTTTTTAGCTGGCACTTTCTCATGTCTGACACCTTTCTACATTTTCAATGTGATATTAATCGAGGGTTTTAAATTGATGACCCTATGAGGCTACAAACCACAAAGTTGCTACTGAATCAAAGAGGATTCTGTCAGGATTCTTCATCTTTGTACTAGACACCTGCTATTGTGTTTCAAATGTGAAAATTAAAATTTCATGTATTTGCAACCTGCCGATTAAATAAGCAGGAAGTAAGTCTCTTTTTTTTTTCTCATAACTGCTTCCTTTCAGCATGTTCTATGGTCTCTTCTTCCTACCCTGGAGTGGACTGTCATGTCACTAAACCTCTTTGAGATCTTTTGGGTAATAAGTAACCCCAGCCCCCCCTTTTTTTGGTATGAAAGGTGCAGTCAATAAACATGCATGTGCAGGTATTTTTTTTGTAGAATTATTTGAGTTCCTCTGGGTATGTGGGATTGTTGAGTCATATGTAGGGTCGATATTTAGATCTTATAGGAATCACCACCCCATATCTTTAAAATAAAAGAAAGAAAGAAAGGTCCAGTCAAATATAATATCAGGACTCTAAACTCTCGTCCAATTTACAGCTTCTCTCTGTTGCCCTCTTTCTCCATTGCACTTTCAGATCCAGGTTTTCTCAGTGTAGAAACCGGACACGGTGGTGGGGGAGCTTTATAACTCCTCCCCCGACCTTCTTCTGCATTGCAGTTTGTGGGCATTTTAGGATCAAGCACAGTGAGGAGGAAGATGTTGGACAGAACAAGGGTTCATTAGTAAGCAGGAGTCTTCAGATGGTGATGCTAATGTGCTTTTGGGGGGTTTTGTGAATTCCTTGGAGATAAACTCTTTAGGGAGTCCCCTTAGCCACTCATTTTTATCTGGTTCCATCCCTGAAGTTCTTTGATGTATTGATGTCTCTATGGCTAAATGGCTCATTTCCTGCAGGAAGCTCTTTGGGTCAGGTATTTTCCAAGGAACCCACATTTGGCCCACAGGAAATTGACACAGAACTCATCCCACATTTGTAGGGAACACCTCTACCAAGGCTGTTCCCTCTTCCTTAATCAATCCAGCCACCCTCAGTTTCTCTCTTGATGGCCTTTGCAGGATGAGTCGGCACAGGACCTCTGATCCCAAAGTTCTAGAGGACACAGGGCAAGCCTCTTGAAGACCCTTCTCCCTTGGCCTAAGGTGAAGGGAGGGAAAGCTCTGTCTCCTTCTATTCTTTTAGCAGGATCTTAGCACACACTGATCACTCTCTGCAAATTAAAGTCAAACCTCCTTTCTGGTGTCTGTAACTTCTTCAGAAAAAAGAAAAGAAAAGAAAAGGTGTTTTTTTGTTTATTTGTTTTGTTTTGTTTTTTGGAGAATGGATAATCAGGAGACTGATGGACCAGTGCTGGTAGACTGTTCTCTCCATTCCTTCAAAGTTCAAACTTGATTCTTTTTTCCCCTTCTCAAGGAATATCCCATCCCTGAAATGTATCCAATTGTTATGAAGGCTTTCATAACATGAGTGGTTGAGTCAGAAAGGATCTGAACCAATGATGGACTTCTACTGAGGTGTCAGAGACTCGATTTTCTCTGGGCATTGAGACTAGACATCTGCTGATGTGCAGCTGGTCTTGCCTGACCTCTGGGCTGGCAGAAGTAGCTGTCCATGGTCCTACCACAGTGTCTGGGCTCAACATCACGGTTTCCTCACTTTTGTCTTTGTCTTAACTCAGTGCCTCTGGCTATCTGCTTCTGTCATCACATCAGCTTTCTCCTTGTGGGATAATGGATGCTGGAGAAATCCTGCTTCAAACCACCCCTGAGTCTTATTGTTCTAGCACTGTAATCAACTCAGAGGCCCTAAAAGAGACAACACGCAAACTCTAAAGAGAAGCCCCTGCCTCCATTGGTCTTATATTTCTCCTCAGCCATCCGGATTTCTATAATTTACTCCCCTAGTAACTCACTGGTGCCCTATCTCTCTATGCTCACTTCCTTCAAAGACATCCATTCGTAGCTGCATGGTAGGCATTTACAGTTGATTGAAGAACCCTGCCATTGACTCCAAACTTAGCCTGGAAATAATTTTCCAACCAGCCCTCTAAGCAGCTTTCAGGATAAGCCATAGTGGGTCCATAAAGGAGATCATCTTGCCGGCAAAACAGTAGCTTCATGGAGAACTTGCATACCGGAGATTGGCCCAATCAGAATGTATGCAATTCAACAACCTAAGTTCTGTACTCATCAACTATAAAACACTGGGGTAGTCTCCATGCTGTTATAAATCTCGGCAGCCTCATTTATGAAGTGGACGTCACTGAATAAGTACCTCATAGATCTGTTACCAAGATTAAGACAATATATGTGACAGATCAAGTGCATGAAGTCTCCCTTCTTATGACTTCCTGGATGGAAGTGAGACCAGGCTTGCATGTGTTGCTTCCTCTCCCAAGCACTTAATGACAATAATCAGAGCAGTGTTTTTCATGTAATATAAAATTAGCCAAGAGAAACAGGAAGCCAGAGGCTGGGGGAGATTGAAAATGCCATATTTTTAAATTTCCATAAATTGAGTTTAAGAATGATAAGGTATCTGTGGCATATCCTGGGATTAGACATTTGGCTTTGAAATATGACTAAGACAGCCAGCTTCTTTAGCATCACATAGGTCTGGATAGGAACAAAATGGAGAAACATGGCATTTCATATTAAAGGCAGAAAAGCTCTTGAAGTTCACCTTGTCTAGAGGCTCTCAATACTTCCAGGAGGATTCTGCCCCCTGTAGACATTTGGCCATGAACAGAGTCATTTTTAGTTGTCACAACTGAGGGGGATGGTTGAGGTGAAATGTAGCCACAATAAAGGCAGGGACTTCACTTCTGAGTTTATATGTTGGGAAGAAGGCCCACTTTTAGGTCCTCTGAGTTCAGTATGGTGCCAGAACAACTAGTCCTTGGAGTGGTGTGAAGCAGATAGGATTGCCACAATTAGATACTGGCATCTAGTTAGTAAATGCCAGAGTTGCTGCTGAACATCTTACAATGTACAAGTCGGCCCCCCTCCCCAAGAAAGCATCATTCAGTTCACAAAGCCAATATTGCAGAAGTATAAAAACCATGTTCTAAGCTAACCTCACATCTTACTTGCTACTCTACAAAAGCTTATCATCACTTGCTTGCACAGGGATGGGGAGCTCACTTTTTCCCACCATAGTTTGTTCATCCCTGGACAGTTCTGCTGAATCAGGAAATTCTTCTTTACTTCAAGAAGTAATTCATCCTGTGTGCTCTCCCTCAGTTGACCTCAGTTTTATTCCTTGAGACCACCCAGGACAATTCTAAGTCTGGATGGCAGTTCAGGTAAGAAGCATCCTCTATGCCAAATCTCTTTATCTCCAAGTTAAATACCAGGACTCTTTCTCCATGTATGTTTTAATTGAATTTTTGTTTTATTTTGTTTTAGTTCCTTTATAAGAATCCAGGCATTCTCCTCTTAGTGTTATCAAGTTTATCTTCATCTTTTCTAAATTGAGACCTTATGCCAGGAACTAAGTTTTATCTCCATTTAGGGCATATCCATTTTGAAACATAGAAGTGTGCCACCTCTCTCGTTCATAATTTTTTTACTTCTACTAATGTAACTGAAATCCTTGTTAACATTTTTGTCATCTTAGCTACACTGGCATGTATTTAACCTCCTGTTGCTCAAGCCCTAATGATATTTCTGTGATTCATAGGAACCTGTGTTTTAATGGACTCAAAGTCATATTAAACAGTAACACAGAACAAACTGTGGAATCAGAATGACCTGGTCTAGTCTTTCATTTTTGCCTTGTGATTTTGAACAAGTTAATTAACTCATGCTGGCTTATTTCCTCTACTACAAATGGAATGCTATTAGTAAATACCTCATATAATTGCTATACTGATAAAGAACAAAAGTACGGTGTTCAGTTCATACTAAGTCCTCAGTAAGTTGTCTTCGGAATTAAAATGAATACAATTGTTAACAACATTCAAAGACTCATGTGGTAGACCCTCCACCCTCTCTCCATCAAGTTTCTTTCTGGTACAAGAAGAGAACATTATTTGCATTCTATTTATGGAGCCAGCCTGGGCTCCAATGGTTTAGTTGGCTGTTTTACTTGGCCTTCATTTGCCTTCATTTGCATAGGTTTCAAGGAAGCAAAGCCCATTGGGTTGTGTCTTAGAGGCTGCCCCTTTTGATGTGCCCTTTTTGTGCTTCGTTTTCTTATCTATGGAGGAAGGAGAAGCATTTCCTATCTGCTATACTCGTGGAAGATGCTCCTTCCAGGTTTCCCACGTGCCCTGGTTCAGAGAATTTTGCAGAGTTTGAGTGATTGGTTTTTAGAATTTGAGGTTAACACTAGGTCCTTCTGAGGACTAACATGACTGGCTTTAATTTAGACAAGAATAAATCCCCATTTTATAATTAAAAATGCCTTCAATCCTTGCCTGTCAGTTGATTTATCTCCTAGAAGTCAGACAAATGCCAATTTACAAAATGCTGAAGTGACAGTAGGGGGAGGATTTTTAATAAACTGGACAGACTATTTAACCATCATGCTTTGGGAGTCATTCATTCTTTCATTCATTCAGTCAATTGTTCATTTTAATAAGTACACGTTTGACCAACTTGTATAATGCTCCAGATATTAGGCTAGGAACGGGGTATCCAGAGATAAATTAGTCACAGTCCCTGTCCCAAAAAATTAAGAATCAAATAGAAAACACAAGCTCATAAAGTCAATGCAGCATCATAAGCACGGTGCTGGACATTTGGACACATGTGGGAGAAATAAGAGAGAAGTGGGAAGAGAGCCAAGAGGGCTTCAGGGTTGGGATGAGTCTTGAAAAGCAAGTCTGGCCATTGTATTCCTCACTGATGCATGGGCTTGGTGTCAATGACAACAAGTGTGAGGCTCACATCTGCTGCATAGCAGCTGATTGACAGCTAATAAATGATTTCCCTTTCTGGGCCTTGGTTTCTTCGCGTCAATCATGGGAAGAAACATCTATACCAGGCAGAGGATTTGAAGGACTGAGTAAGATGTTGCATGCACAGCACTTGACCCTTGAAGAGGCTATAATATAGCCCTGCTTGGATGACAGCAAGGATAACCCACCATCACTCACATGAGCTCACTCGCTTGCCTTCCAGGTTGAGGGATGTGGCTGGGGCGCCGATGATCAGCAGTCGCACACTGGGTCTGCATTTCCACCCCCGGAATGGTCTGCACCACCAGGTCCCAGTCATGTTTGACTATTTCCACCTGTCTGTGATCTCGGTGACCATCCATGCTGCCCTGGTGGCTCTGCAGCAGCCCCTGATCAGGTATGAAGTTTGGAAGTTGCCCTGATGCGTGGGGAGCAACCTTCCATCTCAGGTGAGGCAGAGGCACGGAGTCTGCCAGGGGAGCTCAGCACAGACAACAGAGCTTCTCTGAAGTCTCACTGAAGAGAATGGGAGAGGTGGCGGAGGGGTGTGGAGAGGGCATCTGGAGTCAGGAGGACACTGGCAAGGAGTCCAGGGCCTAAAAACTTGCAAGCTATGGTTTGGGTTTGGGTTTTGGCTTCACTTTTTTTTTAACTGTGTCTTATCTGAGAAGTCACCTAATGTCCCAGAGTCACATCATCTTTATCTTTAAAACAGGAGCTCTCACGTGTGTCCAGTCTACCTGAGGTTTTAGTGAATCCCAAATGAAGACAATGCCAGGTGCACAGAAGGGACTGTCTTCTTTCTCTTCCCTAAGAGATTATTCATTCAGATGTGGAAGTTTCACTTCTACAGTTGGTTTGCCTCTCCCATTCTGTGAATTTTCTCAGAACATCTTCAAGACCCTGTGAAGCACTGAGATTTTATAAATTCTGTAAGTGGATGGGTAGAGCTGACAACAACTAGTGCATTGCACTGTGCTGAACTGTCTTCATACCTGCTCCTAGTGTGGCCAGAGAGATAAATCATATCATTTCAACACATCACATACGCACATGGGAAAAATTTGCATGTGTGTAGTGGAATATTTCGGGATAGAATCTTGCAACATGGAGTTTTGGAAAGGGGAATTTCCCAATTTCCCTTTTCTGGGTGGCTTCTCAGTGCTGAGAGTTTAAGTGCATATGTGGGAGACCTGAGTCCTCATTAAGTGTGGCACCCCTGGCCTGAAGGCCCTGCTCTCCATTGGGGTCAGAGAGTAGGAAATGAGATGCCTAATCTGAGCCATGACATGAGATTAGGTCACTGATCCAGTGAGCATGCCCATCAGCTGAATCCTATTCCATTCTGAGATCTACAGAGAGATATCTCATAGGGGAGTTAAGGTAAGAGCATATGGCAGGAATAAAGGGAACTGATGGGTGAAGAGAGCTGGTGAGGACAGTACCCAAGCATGGAGTCATCAGTTGAAACAGGAGAAGTTTGGACATATTCCTGCCCAAACCTTGACTGAGCTCATGCATATACACTGGGTCCCAAAGATAAAGGCAACACTTGTATCAAAAAGACCTTGGGACTTTTCATTATTCTTGCATTCAGTGGGTATTTGTTGAGGGCATGCTCTGCTCTGGGAAAGGTGTTAGGAAATACATCCTACTATGAGATATAAAGATACACTGGAATAGGTCTTTCCCTCAAAGAATTCACAGTCCAGTAGAGTAGGCCAATTTACATATAAGAATTTATAATGTCTTTTTTTTTTTTTTTGAGTTGGAGTCTCACTCGGTCGCCCAGACTGGAGTGCAGTGGCCGCTCCCGGCCATCGCAGCCTCACCTGCTGGGCTCCAGCGATCCTTCCGCCTCAGCCTTCTGAGTAGTCGGAATTACAGGCACGCGCTACCACGCCCAGCTGATTTTTTGATTTATTGTAAAGATGAGGTCTTACTGCCCAGGCGGGTCTCAAACCCGCGGGCTCAGGCAATCCACTCACCTCAGCCTCCCAAAGGCACGGGATTACAGGCTGAGCCACTGAGCCCGCTTATAATGTCTTAAATGCTGTTGTAGTAGAGTTTGGTAGAAAATGTAACAAGATTCATAGTGAGAGGAACAAAGGAAAGCAGACCTAACCTTGGGAAATGACAGGAGAAATAGAATCCAGAAAGCAGCAGAAAGTACGATTATCCTGCAAAGGATATTCCCTCGCTGTTAGCTCACACTGTGGCTCAGCATATCATGGCTTCAATGCAGAATTAAGGGCATGAGCTGTCTGCCCTCAACCAGATGAGGCTAGCAAGGTGAGGTTGGTGACTGAAGGTTGGGTCCTGATGCTGTCACTGCTGAAGGTGAAGCAACAACCTGGGTTAGGAAAGGCAGAGCTTTCCTGGAATAGGAAAAGGCAGAGATTTTCTGGAGCCCCAAGAGCAAATTGTTCCTCATCATCTGGACTCAAGACCATCTTAATTAACCGGGCATGGTGGCGCATGCCGTAGTTCCAGCCACTTGGAAGGCTGGGGTTGAAGGATCATCTGAGGCTAGCAGGTCGAGGCTGTGGTGGCCATGGGCAAGCCACTGCACTCCAGCCTGGGCGACAGAGTGAGACTCTAACTCAAAAAAAAAAAAAAAGGACCATCTTATTGTCTAGTGCTGTGACTTATTTTGGGGACTACTTGGATAAGTCACCTAACTTCTCTAAACATCTGTTTCAACATATAAATGAATGAGTGAGAAAGAAATTTTAGAAAATGAGATGTGATTCTAAACCAGCAGGGCTGATAAAAGGGTGCAATGGAATGAAACATATATATAGAGCTGCACATGGTGATAACAGGCTTGGTTCAAGGTGTCATGAGTGTCTAAGCTTTAGCCACTATCACTTCTCTGTGAAGGGCCAAGCCTAGAACCTCTGAGATGAATAGACCAGGTTCAGGACTTTAAAATGCTCAGAGTCTGGCAGAAATGCACATGGGCAATACATTATAATTGGAAGTGATACTTGTTAAATTGAGATTTGTGCAAAGCATCATGGGAGCTCAATGGAGAATGAGATTTAAAGGAATGGTTTTTAAGATTAGAGGAACCCAGGTTGCAAGTTTGAGCTGCCTGCTTGTTAACCCTGTTAGCTTGAACATGTGAGCTTTAGTTTCATGTGTACTAAAGGCTATTAGAAGGATTAAATGAGACAGTACATGTAAAACCACTGACTATTCATTCAGTTGACTAATATTTATTTAGTAGCTACTATATTTCAAGCCCTGGTTTTCATGTTTAGCACATACTAAGCGCTTAATAAATGGTAGGTAACTGTTAGCATGGGGAAGATGTGGTTTTGCTTAAGGGACACGAGGGAAGGCTTTTTAGAAGGAACAGCTTTTGTGCTCCACCCTGGGGATAAGAGACTGTGACAGTGAAAAATGAATTTGGGAAGGCAAATTAGAGTTATATGTTAACAGGATAATTAATGACACATCAAGGAATTGAGAATCTGCTTATTGCGCAAGAAGGAAGCACTGAAGGTTTTGAGAAAGATAATGAACTGATAAGACCTATGTTTTGTAAAGACCCCAGCAGCTGTGAGTCAGTTGGACTGGAAGTTACATCAGTGTAAAGGAGGAGGATTGGTTAAGGCATGAGAGGTGTTTACACCAAGTAACAGGGCAGTGAAGAGGGGGTTTCATTCCTTCTCTTGCTAGGGGCCCTGATACTATTATAATGAGAATTTTGGAATCTAGGAAATCTAAGTAAGAAGTTTAACTTTCTGACAGACATGGTCTCTTGCAAGTTTGTGTGCAACAACCTTGCTGGAAAGGAGCACAGATAGAAATTCACAGTAAGAGCTCAGACTTCTCCAGGGATGGGGTAAAAATAGAACTGTCCTCTGTTCTGTGAATTTGGCAGGAAGAATTTCTATCCATCGGCTCACAGTAGCTGGGAACAAAGGGAACCCTTTAAGGTTGTGGGAAATACCTGTCAACTGGGGCAAGCACTAGTTTTTCCAGAAAAGCAGTTTTTTTTGCAGCATCAGTTAAATTCAATCAGCATTAAGCATTAAGCAGGTGTGAAATTAAAATTTAATCTCAAAAGACCCCTAACCTTCACTGAAACCTACTGAAGAAAAGAATAAAATGCTTAAGCCTCAAATGGGTGCAATTGAATTTCACTTAAGGGGTTCAGATGCATTAGGAAGTCTAATCAAGGCCACCCCTAAATAAATAATACATTATTTTAGGTATTAATTTGTAGTTTCTCCTATGAATGTGCCATAAGTTTTAAAGATTTACACACACATACATCCCACTTTTCTTCTTCTCCTTTTTCTTCTTCGTCTCCTCCTCCTTCTTCTTTTTTTGAGTTGGAGTCTCACTTGGTAGCCCAGACTGGAGTGCAGTGCCACACTCATTGCCACCCCAGCGTTGACCATATTTCATGAATTTATCCAAGAAAACTTTTCTCATATCATCAGTGATGTGACCATACAAAAACAAGAGATTCAGAGAACCCCTCTCTTCAATCACCTGAAGATATTCCAGGTGATTGAAAAAGATAGAACTCTTCCCAAATCATTTTATGAAGCTAACATCACATTGATACCCAAGCCAGGTAAAGACCCAACAAAGAAAGAGAACT